CGCTCGCTTACTATACAATAACAATACAATTAGTAGGGTATAGTAGGCTAACTCTGCCGCTGACTTCTATTAATCTAATGTAAGGCTAAGTAGCGCCTTTTCCTTTAGGTCCAATGTAGCGTTGACAAAGAAGAACAGACGGTGAAAAGACAGCGAATCTTTTCCTCTTGATCTGAGGTACGAAGAGAAAGATCTCTTTTTTATGACTTCCACTTATCGATCCCGGCCCGGAAAAGTGACCGACCAGGACCCTATTGATGAATGAAAGAAAGGGTTTATGAGCCCTAGCCCTGTAAGCCCACACCTGTGTAGAGTAGATCGTTCAACACCTGCGGCACAAACCCAGTTTTGACCTATTGGTCCTAGTATCATAGGCGACCGAACGGCCGCCCCCTAATTACTAGACCAACCCGCGATAATAATTCCATAAACACCTAGCGAAGATATGGCAAACAAATAAAGTAGCCCTATGTTCGGATCTGACAATACCATACCATAATCAAAAGGTACAACGGCCCGAGCGACCAGACTTAACATAAATGTAGCCACTGGAGCCATTCTAAAAAGGGAGAAATTAGCACTACTTGGTGAAAGAGGTTCTTTTATCATCAATTTCAAACCATCTGCTAGAGGTTGTAACAATCCGAACGATCCCACTACATCAGGACCCTTTCGACATTGCACAAAAGCCATTACTTTACGTTCAGCTAGTACTAAAAAGGCTACTCCTAGTAGAAGTGGTATAATTATTCCAAGTATTTCAGCTGGAACTGCTATGTACGTTTTCGATTTTCTATTCACTCTAGATCTGGCCTGGGCGACCCAATCATGATATTAATGGATCAGACCTTTTCTCAAAAAACACCGGATCCCGAGAAGAGTTGAAGATGGTGCAAGATCGAATCCTCTTACCTTACTTTGAATGGAAGCTTAGCCCGCCTCACTTGCTTTCTTTACTGCATAAGGGCATAAACGAAGTCAACGGATTTCCTTCTAACTAGCGGCTGAGAGTAAGCAAGCTACTTTCATTCAACAGATTTGTGGTCGAGTCAATAACATGCTCTGGGTCGGGAATCTTTTCTCTTCTCTTTTGTATTTCCGCTACCTGCGTTCTTTTTTGTGTCCGTCCGTATCGCAAAGCTGGTCGACGCCTGCTGTAATGGTTGAAAATAGGGGGCCAACCAAGACCCCCTAATAAAGCTTCGATAAAGCAAACGATTCGTTCCGACAACTTCGGATCAGATTCACCCCTTTGAATTAGCCGATCTTACAAAATAGATCGGGCGGGCTGGTTGGGAATGGGTTCTTAGTGGAGAAAAGAATCGCTAAGAGATAGATTTTACTATTTGGTCAGGACGAATGAGTGGCTGTGCAGCATGCTCCGGAGGAGATTGACCCTGAGAGTCAGTCCAGTTAGAAAGGGGAGGGCCCGCTGTCTAGACTGCATTTCGGGAGTTTGAACACCATCCCATTTCAACCATAATGACAACCCTGTCAAAGGTATCTAATCTTCCTTCCTTATGAGTGGAAATCCAATTCTGTTTTGTCCTTTTTGCATAAAAACCACCGGTAATAAATATATATTAATGAATTTTGAAACTCGTTCTTCCAACCATTTTAGAAAAGCGCATACTTTCTCCTCAAAAAATGACCTCTCCCGTGAGGGAGCCCATTAGATATTTACCTAAACCGGTAGGTAGGTCCTTGAGCAGATCCCACGTTAGCCCCAAGACGAGTAAATGCTTGAGCTTAAGTGAGAAGGGCCTCCTCCCCCTGCAGGTATTTTGCCTGTATCGTGTTTACCAGGGGGGACCCTCGATCCGGAAGGTATGCCACGGCTACTATCGAGATATACATGTCTGCCTCCCTTGAAAGCTCCTGGTGCTACGACTATCACCGGTAAGTTTCCTCAGATCAACATCGGGATTAGAATCCACTGCAAAAGCAACTAAGTCAACGCCTATTTGCTCTAGATCTACTGGCTCGGACGCTTGTTGAATCTATTCCACCACAAACAACCGAATATACTACTGCCGGATCTTTCGCTGCTTCTCTTGTTATTCTTCTCACCTCTCACTACGCCACCTCAGCAGCTGGAACTGGAACTGATTCCGCATCTGGCACTCCCCATTTCTATCGAGATTTAGAAGTAGGGTGAGTGTCTAAAGCCCGGGTTATCTCTCTGAATCAGCTTATTCACTGGACTGTTAAGCCATCGAGTCCTCTAGGGGTTATTGACCCCTTTCAAGAAGATTCATCCAAGACTAACGATCTCGTTAATTCTAAGGAGGAACCCATTCCATAAGGAAGATCAGAGGAAGGCATACATAGTTGGCTGGTTATTTGTCTTTCCCATTCCTGCTGCTACTAAAGGTGCCCAAAATTCATGGATTCTCTGGTAGAGGGGAATCGAGGTTGAATTCTTTGGTGGGCTGGCTTAAAAAAGCCACCAATTGCAATTGTAGTAGGAGTAGCTACTTGTTTCATGGCTTTAATTTGAGCTTCAGATACAGAATATCTCCATAAATGGGTATGACTGGTTAAGGTGACCTGCTTTCTTTATGCGGCAACTGCAAGTTAAGGTACTCTGGATTTGTTATAGCACCACCATTTCACAATATACATTGTCCGGGAAAGCTAGTCTTGGAATTGCTCTTTTATCCTACTGAAGCTCACATTATGAAAGTTGAGGCTTGACTCTAACAGGTCTTTTAAAGTCTCCTTGCTACGGCCTTTATTAATATCCCTAGCTTTTTTGGTTACTCTCATCTTTCGTTTTTGTACTCTATTCGTTCCTTGAAGGTCCAATTAATTAATAGTCAAGTAATGTTCGGACGGTTAGTGGCTGTTCTGCATGACTCCAGAACATTATAGCTAAGGAGCGGATTTCAAGGTCCCTTGACTTGCCAAACGGTTAAAGTATGCCTATACAGTCAATCTTTACACACATGATAGTAAAGCCAGGTTATCGATGATTCTACAATAGGTGGCCGCTACCCGACTTAGCGAATCACTTCCAGGCTTGCATTAAATCGAGATCGCGCCAGTATTTCTTGTGTGCCTCATTTATGCTGGTGGCATACCTGACCGTATTGTGCGAAACCCTCACAAAAGTCGTGGCCTTCCGCTATCTTATACCCTCCCCTAGAAGTACAATGGTGGGTCCCTCCGGAACTGGTAATCCCCGAAAGACTTTCAAGGAGCCTTGTTCAGCAGGTGCGTTGCAAGTATTCTTTCATAAGTTTGACGCAAGTCGTACTTCCCAGCCCTCTTAGCTACTTGTACTAACAAACCAAACTAGGACGCTATACAGAAGTTCGTGTCTGCTTATCCCGGCTACAATCACTATTGAACAGCGATCCATCTGAAGAATGGCACTTGTATATCCCTAGGCGTGGGTCTTGACTTTCCCCTATTAGAGAAGGGGGACGTTTGGAACCTGAAAAGGAAGACATGATCTACATAATAAGACAGAATAGCGCCTAGAGATACAGGTACGGTTCATCGCATTACTTGTCCAAGCGTCTTGCCATCTCGTCGGATATGCCATACTCAGATTTTGATGAGGTTAGGAACCATTTGCTGTTACCAGCATTGCTCATTATTAGGAAACTCCCGTTTATCGATTTTCATTAAGGTTACCTTGTCGCTTTAATAATGAATGATATGGAGTCCCTCAATATATATGGCACGCTTGACTTATAGTGTCCAAAGGGGTTTGAACCATCTATTTCTGCCTGAACTCTTCCAGAGTTTCCCTCCTAGCGAACGGGGAAAGCTTATCCCTCACTCGCATTCGCCTAATCGAGCAGAACGCCACTCAGCGATCATCCTACAACTAGTCCCGCCTATAGTTATAGTGTCCAAGACACAATCGATTTTTTTGTTCTTAACGACGATTGGAAAAGACCGGATCTTTACACTTCGCGACCCTCGGAGAGTATGTGCTTAGTGCAAGGCCTCATAGAACATAGAACAATGAAGTAATGAATCCATACGAGCTCCGGCCCTCACTCGAATACAATACAAAAGAAACTTGTTCATTTATCTTACCTGTTGTGGACCTTCAACGTTTCACCTTTCATAGATCTGGGAAAGAAAGGCTGTTTTGGTTTGGGAAGTGACGTTGAGATTGGGCACGTGCGAGAAGTAATAAAGAAAGCAAAGGGAAATCAGAGGAGTTAGAGCAGGGAACAATGGGCATCCCCGCCTGGAAAACAAAGAGTAGAGTCAGAAGGACCTGAGGCAACTCTACTACGCCTTTCCTACCAAAAAGCTAACCCAATCGAAGGAAATTACATAAGGTCTGTCTGTAAAGGGCTATAAAGAATCTCATTCCTCCGTCCCTTTCTTCCCCTATTTCCGAGATCGATATAGCCCTCTCGAAACCTAGCTGTTAGAGTTGCATTTCCGGGCTAATATTCCACTTAATTAATCCCGGGTACTTGAACCCTTCTCCTGCAAGGTATAGAACAACTAAGGTGTGGGCCCACCTCGCTTTGGTTCTGCTTCTGTGGTGACTAAGAAGCAAGAGCTTGAGCTCAACCAGCCATTGATAATCACTTTTGTGGTTCCCAATCGGGATGGAGATTCCGGTTCGGTGTAGGGGACACCTTCTTCATGATCTAGGGGTCCAATGTAGCCTACGCTAAGCAGGGAGAGCTCCTCTTTGGTTCCATCTATCCACATTCTTCCTTTCCTTTCCATCCAGGGGAATTCGGGCTTGATTGTTTTGTGTAGTCGATTCGCTCAGTACCCTCCATAAACAGAGTCCATGAGCTCGGGAAGAGAAGTAGAGCCCTCGGTCAACCAAGAGAGGTCCAGCCCTTCCTGATCATTCATCATTCATTTCGTTGCGTTCTTCTTTCGAGCGGATCCGTCAGCTTCCAGCCAACCAACCAACCCTGTTGATCCTGACCTACAGAAAGAAGGGAATGAGGTAATCTCAGAATCAAATGAAAGAGGAAATAGAAAAAGAGAGAATCGGAATTGATAAGAAAGAACGTCATTCCTATCTTTCGAAGCAGCTTTACCGAGTTGTAGAGGTTCAGTAGTTAGATTTCATTCATCTTTCGTCTTTCTCCTTTATTAGTGTATTCAGGATCATGAATGTTGAATTAGATTCTTCAATCAATTCATTCATTGACTCGACTCCCTTATTCTTTCACTGTAAACTCTCATTAATGTTTATGTTTCTTCTTTCCTTCCTTAATGCAATAACTGATGGTAATACTGGTGAAGAAGTTCAGGATCATTCATCTTGCTTTCGGCTTGACTTCCTGTTCAGGTTCTGGTTCAGTAGTTCCATCTGGTTTAATAGTTCAGTCTAATTCATCTTTGTTACAGTCGAGTAAAAGAGTGAAATCCGGAAGGGAGAGGAGCGCAGCAACGAGACCGTAAAATAGCTTTACCTCGTTCAATTAGTCTAGGAGAGGCTCCAGCACAGGTAGGTAAGGGCGAAGTCATCATAAGTGGTTGACTGGGACATTTTTTTAAGGCAAATTCATCGTTTTTCACTCGTCTTTCATGCGTGCCTGTATTCATTGTATGAGTCATTAGTTCGTCTTAGAGAATGGAATTAGGAATGAGATTTGCGTCTTATTGTAGGTCGGTCATCTGTTCAATCTGGAATTCCATCTCTTCTTTGGTTTCTAGTACCGGTTTGATTTGAGTTCCTTTGTTCAAATCAATATCTATGTCAGGCTTCCCTTCCCAGTTGTCCTGTCCTGTTCAATCCGTTGTTCTTCTGTCCAATCAATATCTATGTCAGGCTTCCCTTCCCAGTTGTCCTGTTCTGTTCAATCCGTTGTTCTTCTGTCCAATCAAATATCCCGGTCGAGCTGGCTTGGCTGGTACATCAATCGGCATATTGCTTGTTTGGTACACATATCTTTCAATGTCAATAAAGTTCTCAAATTCATTCCCTTTGCCTTTTGAGCTGAGCTGAGGAAAATGTGAATCATTTCCATTTTTTGAGCTTGTAAAGCTTTAAGAGAGAATAGGGAGTCAGTCAGGGGAAAAAAAGGCTATAAGTAGGCCGTTTGCTATTGCTAGTTGGGCTGCTTGCCTTTATCCGGCTTGGCTTCGCTATTGCTCGTGACGTGTATTGTGGTCGGCCTAAAAAGTCGTATTCCTACCATAAAAGAATGTCGATTATCTAGTGTGTTAAGTTTCGCCAGAAGCAAGCAAGACGAGGTCGCCCCTCTCCCTATTGGTTGAGCTGCTTCGCCCCTATCTCTAAAGTTTTCAAGGCTCGTTCCGTACTTGACTTACGAGCTGGTTGGTGTAGTACTCGCCCCTATCTCTAAAGGGGCTTATACACTCCACGCGCTGTCGTATAAACGAGCGTTAGAGCGAGCGAGGGAAGCCTTCAATTTAGGGGCTTCCCCCCTTCCTTATCCCTCACCCTACCCTTTCATTTCTGCTTAAGCCCGGTTTGCGGTTTTAATTGATTGGATACCCGAGAACCATAATCTTTTCTAGGAACTGCTTCTACGACGATAGATAGGGGTTAGGTTTGTTTGGCATCTATGCCCCCTGCCCTCCAAACAGTATGGGAGCCTTTCAGCTCGTACTGCTCACACTCCTAGATCTTCACGGCACCTCCTCCACCATAGTGTGAGCTGCTCTCAGCTCCGAAAAGCGAGGCCTACTTCCAAATTCGCTTTCAACAACACCACGAAAAAAGTCAACTATGGTAGCCCGCTGATCTGATTATAGGTTCAATCCAATCCCTTGGCCTCTCGGAAGCGAGAAAAAAGCGAGTAGCAAGCTGAACCCTTTACCCTTATTATAATAAGAAGGTCAGCTTGATAGCTCCAACCTATACAAGGGGCAAGCCAAACCCTGTTGAAGGAAGGGCTAAATAGCCTTATCTTATTATTAAAGAAAGGGGAGCTTATTATATAAAAAGACTAACAAAGTTTGGAACCCTACTCCCCAACAACAACAAGGGTGCTTGCTGGCATCAAAGCCCTTCATTATTATTAGTAAGATGGGGCGGAGGGCGCACAACCCCTGATCTGCTCCTTTCCTGAGTGTTTCCCACTAAGCTCTTCGATCCTGCCTTGCGCGACGACTTCGCTATCGCTCATGACTGGTATATGGATCTCTTGATTTATGTAGTGGTCGGCCTGATTGATAGAAGCTTGTCCAGAAGCAACTAGTTGCTTCCCGAATGCCTCTTGACTTTAGTATGGTCTAGTCTTTCTTTCCAATGCCTCCTTTCTTGCCGCCAACGGAGAGTAAGCAAGCGACCTTGCTTGCATTTTAAGGGGAGCAATTTTTCGAGTCTACGAAGCTTCGTAGTTCTCCCTCCCCCTTTGCCTCGCCATGGCATTAGATCCATAATGACTGGCGAGTCGAAACATTACGAATATAACCACGCGGAGCGCCGGACCGTCCTATCGAAGAAAGAGATCATTAAACCAATTTAGCAGAGCTAAGGTGTGTGTGGAACCCTCGTTTTTGAGTCTTTGATTTTCTAATAAGCTAAAGGGGCTGGGGGAATCGCCAGAATTGAGAAGTCCTCCATTGAATGGGGTGGGAAAGAAAGTTTCGGAAATGGCCGGATTAGCAGGAGGAAGGGCGGCCCCACCTTGAAACAAAGGTGTACGTACATAAATAAAGAGGTTGGTTATGGCTTTTCCAAGATAGGGATCCTTCCTATCTATCTTGACCGGGAAGAGGGGGGAGGCCCTTGCAGAAGCCCTGCCCACCCTTCTCTATTTTGAGGGATCCCTTATATTAAGGATTCCTAGCTTCCCGGACTCGTAACAGACAGCTAGGAACAAGAAGAGGGTCAGTAGTCTCTGCCGTTGCAGGTCCTTGCTTCTCCTTCTGCTGAGACGACCCTTTTCTTTTTTACCGCGGCATGAAATCATGAAGAAGCTGCTAGAATAACTCAGAAAGAGAGTGGCGCCTAGGCGTTGAGAGCGTCTGTTGTCTTTGTAGAGCAAGAGTAGGATCTTGGACTGGCCCCCTTCGCATGACCTAGAAAGAAAAATCAGTCCGTGCTACTATAAGGCCTCTAAACTCCTTCCTCAGGACACTGTTGCGTTGGCCATGGGGAGGGGGTAGCCCTGACTTCCATAGGTCCTTGGTTCAACCTCCTAATGAGAATTGAGGTCCTTGCACGGACGTCTCATCCCCAAGACTTGCTTGCTCCGTATGGAGTGCCCCGTGGTTCCTCGAGTGCCAGCCACGGAAAGGAATGCCATCAACTAGGGCGCTATTGGCCACTAACGACTCGCTCGCCGGCCGCTCGGGCTCCGCGTTTCAAGTTCGTTATCCTAACCGTCTCTTCTGCTCCACCGGGAGCCTAGCCCCTTCTTCGATCTTATCTATAGCTTTGCTCGTCGGCTCCCTACAGCTCCAGCCGCTCGCTGTAATAGCTTGCTTCTCAAGTGGCTCGCACCCTGGTGGTGCGGCTGAGCTAGAGTGGGCTCAATAGTCGGCCTATGTTTCCGGGCGCACGCGTAAAGGCGTGATTAGTTCCACAAATCTCACTGCACTGACCATAGTAAACTCCTTCTCGTTGTACCAAAATGGAGATCTGATTTAAAAGACCAGGTACAACATCACATTTGACACCTGAGGAAGGCACAGCCCAACTATGAGGTACATCAGCAGGTGTTACAATAATACGTAGATGAGTTTTGGCAGGTAGAACCACTTTATTGTCCACTTCTAATAAACGTGATTGACCCAATTCTAGATCATCTTCTGAAATCATATAACTGTCAAAAGTGAGTGACTGTTCATCGGTACTGTTATAGTCAGAATACTCATAAGTCCGATACCATTGATATCCATTAGCTTTGATAGTCATGGCTGGATCTACTACTACCTCGTCCATTGAGTATAAGAGAACAAAGGATGGTATAGCAATGAACATCGGAATGATACTAGGAAAAATGGTCCAAAGAATCTCGATAGTAGTTCCATGAACAATCCTTTGCGGTATTTGATTTTTTTGATAGTGGAAATGCCATAAAGCGCGAACCAAGATCCGTGATACGAAAACAAAAAGAAGAATGAGGAAGAAAAAGATATCGTGATGTAAGTCTATTATTCCTTGCATCATAGGTGTTGCTGCGTCTTGAGATCCTAATTGCCATGGTTCCGCTGCATCACAAGGAGCAATTGTGAGGAATAGCCATTTTAGAACAATCATTTTGTTTGGTTTATTCTTTGACTGCTCTGCTCCCCCCCCAAAAAAAGAGAGACTTGTTCTTGCTCTCCCAATTCAGGAAGACAGAAATCGCCGGTTGGGTTGGTCCAACCAAGAAAGGCATGGGAGTGGTGCTTGGGCCGAGTTAAGTAAAGACTGGCTACCTAGTGATTTACAACCACCCTCACAGCACACTTTCTATATATCTTTCTCCTCCCCCCCTCTTTCTTACAACTAGTTGCTGCATGCTATCGGATCTCGAGCAATGGGAGGTTACTATTTGGAATCCACACTCCCATTACATTACAGTCATTTTTTTTATGTCGAAAAGGTCTTTTGGGCAATGAGTTTCTAATGTATTGGGCGTATCCGTTCTCCATTTATATAGATTCTTTTCGTACTAGCTTATCCGGTGCAGTTTATGCATGGCGAAAGGGAGCATTGGAAGGGTCTTAGCTCCAGAATATTCAGATGAAACTGAACTTCAACCCCGGACACTTTCTTTTTTATAATATATATATATATATCTAAGGGATTCTTTCTCTTATCCTCTATATAGCTCATCGTTGGTCCTTCGCAAGTGCGCTCCGCGAGCACTCTACATCTTTCTTAGATGAGAACACACGGGTGCCTCAACTAATAAGCAGAGTGAAATAAGAAAAGCAAGCGTGCTTTTATTATACGTTAGACGATGCCACCTCCCACTTGACTTGAGTCCACCCAGCATAACCGCATTTCCACCAACTGACTCACTTGCCTCTCCCAACGTTGGGGATGAGAATCCATGATTTGATTTGCTAGCTTGAATGCCTGGATCATGCTGAGAAGAGAAGGTGAAGAAAAGACTGTCGGAACCGATCGAAGGAGGATTGAAGAGTCCATCCCCGCATTGAGAAGTTAGAAGGAAGAGATAGAAAGGTGGGGGCATCCATCGCAGCTGTGATGACGCAGTTGAGTGTGAATTCGATCCACCACTCGAGGCCAGGCCGATCAAATAGAGACGTTTTTGGGTTCGATCCAGCAAGTAATCCATAAGCATCAGTAAAAGAAGAAGCATATCCAGAAGCCGATACCAACAGCAGTAGAGAAAGACCCACGCTAATAGAAAAAAAAGAAAGCATATCCGCGGATGATAACGAGAGCAGTACCGATACCACCAATAGCATCCCTTCCAGTTCCCTTTACTAGTAAGGGGAGCCATCACCAGGGCCGATGATCCAACCCCATACCGAGATGCCCTTATTATTATGGGCATGAGCCATAGCCGATGTTGGCTAGAAGCAGTCTCCGTTTTCGCTATGGAGCACCCCTTGTTTTAGATCGATATTGAGTTCCATATCCTTTGACTGATATTCCAGATGTAGAGACAGATCCAAAGCCATTTGATCGAGATCGAGTAGCTATAGCAGATCCATTTAGAGATCGGAACGCCGTTCCGGGTACACCCATTTTAGTAGCAACAGTTGAAGGAATGGTCTTGATTTAAAGAATATTTGTGTAATTAAGAGATATTTATGTAATCCCTTTAAATAAGGAAAAGATTCCCTAATTTCTAGAGATTGATTATATATTATTACCTAGTATCCAGAGATTTAGCTAGATTTAGTTTGACCTAGTATCTAGGAAGATTTTTTTAGCATTTCTGTATTATAAAAGGAACATCTATCTCTATGAAAATAAACGCAGAATTGAGAGCAAGATTGTTTATACTTGCAACATGGTATCAGAGCCTAAAATCAAACCCTAACTCAATTGGTGAAGCCTGAATAGTTGCCGATCATCCATCGTGATCAAATTTCATTTGGAGCCTGAATAGCTGCTGACCTCTCTGTGCATTACCGTAAGTCCAATCGAGTATCACAACAACTACCACTTCCAAACCACTGTTTTTTTCCCCTAAAGCTTACCACAATTTTTCTAAAGTTTATCGCAAGTCCCAGGAATAAAGCCGCAAGTTACAAATCCGCCGCAATTCCGCCGCAAGTTGCAAGTCCGCTGCAATTCTGCCACAAATCCGCAAGTCCACCGCTTTCAATCAATTTTGATATTTTGATAGTAGCTCGCCCTGCACGTCTGCAAGTCCGCGAACCCACCAATACTAGTCCATACACATCACTATAACAAGCCCATCCATCATTACCACTATTTTATTACCGCAACAAGCCCATCACCGTATAACTTTATCCATCCATTCCCATTACGGCCAAAAATCCCCACTACTGCCATAGTCCATCTCTTAGATTCTTAGTCCCAATACCGCCAATAATTCCATCCATCACAGATTCATAGTCCCACAATTGCCAAGAGTCCATCAAGTCCATCTAAGCCAGCCTTAGCCAGTGATCCATACACAATCGATCCATACATAACGGATATACCTGGGTGACCCAGTCGCATATGCAGTAGCTCCAGATCGATACCTCAACCACGTGATCGAGACCTATACACCCCACCCCTTCGTATGGTTACAGGTCCAGTCCTTGTCGCAGCACAATAGTTAGTAGGTGATCCAAGACCTGAGATAAAAGAGGTAGCATATTCATATATTGACCTTAGTGATATAGATCGAGACCTAGATACAGAACGAGACCCGTTAGTGAGGTCCATATCGGTAATAGAAAGACCTGCCACAAAAAGCATTCGGAGCAGAAGTCGACCCTTCCCCCGCCATAATAGCACTACCTAGCTTCGCAGCATCAGTCTCGTAGTAGCATATATCTTTATTTAGTGATCGTTATAGGGATAATGAAACCAATGATAGAGTTGACCTAGCCTAGCGACATCCATCCCTTTTCTCTGACTGGAAGATAGAGACTACTTCATGCGCAACTTCAACATCTCCTCGGGTAGGTCTTTTTTTCAAAACCCCCTTTGGAAAACGCATTGCCTTTCACTCGACAGGATCCAAACAAGAAAAAAATACACGTTACAAATGAAATAAAGGTGGATGTTCAGTGGAGAATAAAGAGAGTGCAAGCTATGCAAAAACAGAGGAGGTGTTCATGCCTGAAGTTTCTCATCAAGTAGAAGGTTCAGCTTAAAGACATTGGTATGCGGGTGACTTACATGGGGTTTTGACCTAAGAGCCTATTCATGGTATATCGAAGACTTTTCATCGTAGTTCAGAAAGTTAGAAACTTTTATGTCACCTTTTTTCCTATTCTTCTGTTTTTATTTTGTCGATCTTGTTGTTGAAGCCGAATCCATACACAACCTAAAAGAAAAAAAAAACTCTAAACTGATGGAAGAGGAAAAACAGAAACATGGAGTTCCAAAAAGGTGGTTTACCTTTTCATTTTAGTAAGATTTTCAGCAAGTAACCCAGTAGATAGAAGATTTTAATGCTTACTTGGATCAATAAGCAAACTCATTTTCTTGAATTGCTAGTTGGCCTCCACTACCTAGTAAAAGTAAATAGGTGGTCTTTCTTCTTTAGGGAAAGCTATTCCTTGAGATACTACTCGTCTCGATAATTCACTCTTGCTTCTTGTAGTTCTACCTTTCTAGAGTAAAGGCCCCGTAGAAGATCATAAAAAGGCCTTGAATCAGCTTTTCTCGATCGAGATTTTGGTCTCCTTTCTCTTTATATATAACATATACAAGAATATGGTTAGCTCTTTACTCGTTAGATGGGTTAGCTTTATGCACTTGTTCTTCCTCGGAGTAATTAATTGGCTGCGGCGGGTTAATCTCTTTCTCTAAAGGTCTTTTCAAGTGCACAATCTTACAAGACTACAAGTTAAGTCTCAGCAAGGAAGATTTTGGGCCACAACCACAAAGGAATGGGCATTTTTGGGGACTAGCCCACTTCCCATTACTCGACGAGGGAAATTCCTCGCACATAATTAAGGGAGCCATTGAAAGGTGACTGAAACACCAGAAACGGTTACTACCCGAGCTAATGATAGATGCAAGAACACTTTTCGGCCAAGTTCCATTAATTGATCATAACGATATCATGGAAATGCTGCACGGACCCATATATATAGAAAGAGAGAGAATCACCTTGATACTAAACCAGATCGAGCCCGGGATCCTTTTGAAAATGGGAAGATCTAGGATAGGCGGCTAACCTCCTGGAGAAAGCGATGTGCATGGACCAGGTGAGTAAGGATGCAGCTACGTGGACCGCTCGTCGGGCCTGATAGGTGGTGGTATCACACCCTTCTCAAAGGAACCGTCGTGAGACTCTCGCCTCATACGGCTCCGTCCCGGCATCAGGACCTACCCTTTCTTTTGACCAACGGGTCCTCAAACCAACCTGTCCTCCCTTGCTATTCCTCAGTAAGCACTTTCTTTTCATTCTATTCCTCAGTAAGCCCTTTCTTTTCATTCATTGATTGATTCAAGGTAGCCTTGCTTCTAAGTCCAAGCGCCAGCGGTAGAAGATAGTCGCCAGAAGCGAACTTCCAGGCCAACTATTAGAATATTAGTAAAGGCGCCTTACTCTCGATATAGTTAGGGGCCTTTTCTTGCTCGTTAGCGCTTTAGTTTGAAATAAGGACGTTTAGGCTTGACTAAGAGTCTCGTTAGGGCGGTTGGCTGCTCGTTTAGTTTAGTATTGCTTTGGCTTCGCCGTCTCTATCTTGCTGGCGAGGGAGCTACCACAACTAAAAGCAAATGAATGAAGGAAGAAGGCATTAGCATTAGAAAGACTACAAAGGCATTCCAGGCCGACTACAAGACTAGGACTACAATACAAGTCATGAGCGATAGCGAAGCCAGATCGGCTTTTTGATGTCGAACGCCCCAAAACTAGCTATCTTATAGCAGACAACTAAGGCAAGCCTACTCAACAATTCTCAATAGAAAAAACCACTACCTCACTCTCTAGTCTAGTAGTCGGATCTTGACCGAGTCCGAGCTTCCCAAGCTCTATGCTGTTGGGGAACTCTGCTTCAGTCTGACACCCTTCTTGATTGACTATATTTGGGTCTTTGGAGTACTTTGGGATTATATTCTGCGCTTTGGTGGTCGACAATCGTTTGGACTTGGTAAAGGTTGTCGCAACACCTGTAGTAGGACAGAAGACTGATTGCGATGCCCGCAGACCAATTTACGATGTCTCCGTCGCTGACGTTCGTCAAGCAGGCCACGTGGATTGGCCAGGGTCTTCTTCGGCTAATGAGACCTCGATCTCGAAGCCTTCGAAGTATCTTTTTGATAGGTGACTCGAGATGTATGGGGAATTCGCTGCTGATAGATCTCCCCAAGTGTCCTCCTCTTTCCCCCGCCGCCTTCCGACCCGTAGGAGTATACAATGACAACTTCCCAGCACTCATGCTCGATCGTGAAACTGCCTGTTGAACATCCGATGGCGCCTTGCTCTGACCTGAGCTATGCAACAACGAGATCCCCCTTGATCTTTGCCGGATGTGATTGACAGTCCCCCATAATACGCTCACTTGGGGACGGATTAGTCTAGCTGTTCCAAGAGTCTCCACTAGTTGAACCCCGTTCAGTAGACTCCCTATTTGGCTCATCCCCTTCGTCAGCTCTTTTCTCGGGATACTATTACCTAGGTTCGTCAAGTTTGAATGGATGGCAGAGCTTAGATGGCAAGCAGTTATATGGATACGGTGCTTTACCCGTAGACGCTTCTCTAGCTCTCGCAAGAATTGTATGGGAGTCGTCCTCGGAGGGACTTCCCGAATGACGGTACCAGGGAATTCTACCGTACTCCGTGCAGCTATTGTTGTTGTTCCTGTAAAGCCTACCTAAAGGTTCAGACCAGATTGTAGGAAGTGGGCGATACGTTTTTGTATTTCTATGAGAAGCTCTACGGCACCCACGATTCCCAGTAGTAAGTCGTCGGCATATTGCGCGTAACAAATCCTTATTAAGTAATGGGGTTTTAAGGGGCCCAGCTTACGGTCCAGGCGTCTCTCTGACCTGATAACTAGTCTCAACTCCCCGCCCAGCTCTATCAGCAGGCCTTTTCTTTTGCAATACTGTAAAGGTTCTCTCATGGCCAATTTCTTATTACAGCGTTCTCGACCATAGAATTCGGCCTGAGGGGTCAACCCGGTGGCTTCTATGAGGAAGGCGGCGCAAAGGAGGCTCAAGGGCTTGTTAAGGAAGGCAGCAACGGCCGGTGGTAAATCGAAAGGCATTTTCTGGTCCCCCCTAAGCCGTGTGGTGCTTGTGTGTGGGGTGTGCCACTACGAAACAAGGGAATGAAAGGCCACTTTGCGTTGGAAGCTCTTTACTCTCCCCATAATGAGGGCTCTGTAGTCTTGGGGAGGGTTGAAGCTTGCTTCTTCTCCAGAGTTTGATTGGTCATCAATACGACCAGTCCTTAATAGAACCGATCTGATTCTCTGAACAATAGGAATTTCGTACTTCTGTTGGATCCTTCCTATCTCCTGATCGAGCTTGTGTAGGTAGATGTTGCCTGGTAGGGCCGATAGTAGTACACTGTGTGGGACGGAGTAGTCAGGGCCCTTCTCACCTCCTATGAGTCGTCCGCCGGAAAAGACTTGTTGAATGGAGTAAAAGAACTTGGGATCGTCGATCTCTTCCTTTAAGATTGAGATGAGTCGATGTCGGTCGATGGTGTGAAAACACTTCCTGATGTCGAATTCCAAAAACCAGTGAGAGGTTCCCCACTCTTCTTTGATCCGTCTTAAGGCCGAGTGGCGGCCTTACCCCGAATGGAAGTGCGATGTGTCTGGAAACTCGGGATCGTAAATGGATTCGAGTACCATTCTGATCGCCTCTTTCATGATCTTTTCTATAGGTCGAACTAGTGTGAACGGTCTAAACTTCGACCCTTCTTTCTTTCTTCATATTGTAAAGGGGAGCAAAGCCCCTATTTTGCTTCCTCTATTGATAGATCAAGGACCCTCTGTCATTTCAGTGACTCATAGGGCTTCCCTCAGCTCAGTCTTTTTGGTTCTTGAGAATGGTCGCCACCTCTTCTAGGACTAGAATGATTATCCCTGCCCGATGGGTCTACATCCATTTCTGAATCTCATCGGGTACTGTTCACTTCCCCGCCATTCTTGTAACCGTCACCTGTAATCCGCGCAGGTGTGTCCGCACCCCCCTGAGTGGACGAGAAAGAAAGGAGATTTCTCAGAGCAACCCCCCAAGTTCCAGACCCTGGAGTCAACTTTCCCGTATGAGCATTCGGTACATGTATCAGTCCGTGGAAGAGTGAAAGGGGCACCACTACTTAGGATCTCCCCCCTAATCTTAGATAGGTCGTCTGAGGGTTCGCCACGGTTCATTGTTGTGCTTACACACTAGGCTACCCTTCTTCAAAAGTTCCACGGGACCACCTACCACTAGTCTTCGGCCAGAGGGATTTATTGCACAAAAACCCCTGGACGCAGGCCCTAGAAGAGGGAAGCCCAACAAATCTCAGATGCAAACCCCCGCACCTCATTAAGATCATATTGCCATACTCTCCCAAAAAAAAAAAAAAGAGCAGACCCCATTGAAGACGAGAGTGAGGTACAACAAGGCCATTTTTGTCCACCGCCCTTCTCACAGAGCCATACGTGGACGTTACTGCTCATACAGCTCCCAGCCAGCAAGCAGTTACCCTTCCTCTACAAAGAATGGAAGTGTAAATGAATCGACATCAAATAGAGGAATTCACTTTTTCTTTTCAGCAAGCCACATCTCAGATACGGGGCATCCCTTTCACAAAAACCTATGGATCCACCCCAGCACCTTGTGATCTTTGAGAAGATCATTACGAGCCCTCTCCCTATCGGTAAAGCAGCTTCGTTCCTCTCCGGTCCATAATCTTTTATCTTTCCTTTCCTCTCCATCATTGTTTTTTGTAGATTGAGAAAATTCCACGGTGGATCAGGACGAGAATGAATTCGGGAATCCAGGCAGGACATACTCATCCTGGAGCTTCCACTATCCTCTGGGGAAGAGTTTATATATATATATATCTCGAGAGGTGAGGAGAGGCAATGGAATTGTGAGATGAGAAGAGGGTAGCCCCCTGACCGATTTCTCGGAATCTGAGGAAGATCTGACCCTGAACAAGAAGAAGCAGCTCTCGATGTGAGATCCTCAGGAAAAGAAAGAAGAGGAATTGGATGCCCCAGAGCAGCAGCCCCCGGATAAGCCTTAAAAAAACACACACACCTCTTTTCACTAATAAAGTTGGACACAAACAAAAGAAAGAAGAAAAGGGCCATGATGATGATTCTATCTGAGTTTTCGACCCGATTGATGCGCTCCTAGCTCGCCTACATACCAGAAAAAGAAAAAGAATCTCTATATTACTTTGATCAGAGAATCCTTGGTTTGACCGACGGACTACGTGGGAAATACGAGATCTAGGCAAGCCGCTACATCTTTTCCCCTTGCCCTTGAACGATAGAAGAACTACTTCGATTCTCTTAGATAGCGGTCGCATCTATGGTCAATCAATAGGTATGCGGATCTATTCTTCTATACTACAAGAAATCGCTATCTCGTAATACCACCACGACACCGATTCTCGTTCTTTTTCCGATCCCCCCATGCCGGCCGTGACTTCAACTTTGAGTATGACGAATGAGTGGAAAGATCTTTATAGAAGTTCCCTGTTCGATCCAACCAAAGAGTTAGTATCTAAAAAATCAATCATATATATTAGGGGTAGAACTGCGAGTTTTTTCAGAAAAGACTTCCCCCTATCCGAATCCAGCGAGTGACTAAGCGCGAGACGAGCCATAACGGGCGAATCGACTACAACTCATCTATAGAGAACTCTTCTTTTTTTGGTCTATTTGCATCAGGCTTTTACCGTACTAGCTAGTAAGAAGGTGTTCCCGAAAGGGGACAAAACCCGTCTAAGATCCTGTGTGCCGGCTTAGTAGCACGTGAACAGAAGACGTAGCCTAAGCTACACTCAATATTCAACCAACCTATGATTGATCCATTTATTCTTTCAGCTTACTATCAATCCACCATGTCTTAGGTTCTCGTTGCGGGAGATCTTGAAACGTGCCCTGTGAATGCGCATACAAATAGGGTCACTATTCGCCTACTACTAAGTTAAGTAAAGGTAGAGAGTGGATTCTAGATTATATCAGTTGAGTAGGCTGGACTGGGGTTCTGGAAAAATCTCTACGAATTCTTCTTTGCAAGAGACATCCCTGGGTGGTTTAGTGATGTGCCAGCCTTGCTGGGATCTACAGATCGAATAATTAGTTTACAAGAAAGACGTAGGGGTCTTGTTTTCTCGGATCCCTACTTTTGACTTTGAGTCTTTGACCTGGATTGAAGGAGGTAAAAGAAAAGAAAAGTAGCTCTTTCCTGAACCTCGACTTCTCTCCTAAATCGGAACCTCTATGACCTGACCCTATTTACCTTATTCATTCAATCCTGAACCTGTCGGTCTCACTGCTGAGCTCAATCACTACTAAACCTACTTATTCCTTTCCTTCTTTCACTCTTGAACAAGGTAAGTCAAGCGTCCGAATAGAAGGTCAAGCTACGGAACCGAAACCCATTTATTCTTTCACCTATTGATTCTTTCTCATTCCCTTCTTGAACCTATTTCTTCTTTCATTGAACTGTAAACTCTTATACTTCTCGCATGCAGTATCCGAGTCTTGCCCATTTAAGGAATATGGAGGAGGTATGTGTCCTCTCGCTCGCCTTGACCAATCACAGATCAGCCTGACTAACGGTCGCTTTGATCTGTTACACATCAGCTCTTAAAAGTACCCCTTTCCATTATATAGGGGTGGACGGTAGGGCTAAAACGGGCATAATTGCTGGAACGGCTAAAAGTGGGCCGACTCTCTTCCATAAAGATATATATGGATATTCGGCCTTTAATGAGACAGTGTTCGTTACTCAAGTTAGCAAAAAACAAGACTGAGGTCGATAGGGGCATTACTGGTAATTGCTAAGGTGCTTTCTTCAGTATTAACCATTGGCTAGCGCTCATCTCCAGCTCTGTTTCCAGCCTTTCATTTCATATATCTCGTATGCCATACCTCAGATTCTTTCTTGCTATACGTCCAAAGCCTTCTCCCATCGGTAGTTGGAAGCGGAACTGAAACTCGATGTAACTGATGTTGGTTTTCACAGAATTTCGGTGAGAGGAAAATGGGAAAATGCGTAACAAAAAGGAGAGAGAAAAAATAACTCTGAATTTGACTGCGTTCAGGTTGTTTTATTTTCTGACCAAATCTCCTATTTAAAAGTAAAAAGGATTCTAAAATTGGCTGGAGAGTGGCCAACTAAATCTGTGCCACTCCCTTCTAAAACTCTGGTGATCCATTCGACGTGATTTGTCAAATGGTCAAACTCACGATTTTCTGAAATCGTGTGAATAAAAAAAAACGGTAAAACTCAGGTTTTATCTAACAATCTCCTCCTAAAACCTGTAGTATATCTACCTTACTATTTGAACTCCGATCTTTGAGCGTAGTTCTTCAAATTTCACCCGCGCCAGGGACTTGGTGAAGATGTCTCCAAGTTGTTCCTCTGTTCGGATGTAATCAATTTTGATGAGCCCTCGATCTGCACATTCTCGAATGTAGTGGAACCTGATTTCTATGTGCTTGCTTCGTTCATGCAAAACTGGATTTTTGATCAGGGAGATCGTAGCTTTGTTGTCTACGTATAGCATTGGTGGATCACTTTCTCTCCCGATGAGTTCTTCCATTAGTCGCGCAAGCCAGATCCCTTGTGTTGCTGCCATCGAAGCGGCGATGTATTCTGCTTCACAGGAAGACAAAGCAACTACCTTCTGTTTTGTTGATTGCCAGCAGATTGCGCCGCCTGAGAGAAAGTAGATCATTCCGCTAGTGCTCTTACGATCATCAACGTCACCGGCCATGTCACTATCACTGTAGCCAACTAGCTTGAGTTTCTCCTTTC